TTCAGTTGAAGTATTTCTTCGCCTAGTGCGTAGTTAGGGACGGCTTTGGGCAATTTTCCCCACCAAAATTTCTGCACAGCAAAAACTGCTGAAAGAAAAAGAAAAATTGTGCAAGGGGAACCATGGAGAAAAAATCCGGGAAAGTGCTTTTTACTATCCAGGTTCTGCCAAAAACACTTCTCGCACAAGCTATTGCCCACCAAAAGAAAAAAAAAAAATGCACAACCTAAAGATGAGAAAACATTTCATGCCCCCAGAAAATTGTCCAAATAATGGTCGAGCTCTTACAAGGTCTGTTATCAGATATTGGTACATTTGTCTATGACCTTTTAATCTTTATTCGGCTGTCGTTGAAGCATCACTGTTTGAGTAAACACCCTCCTCAATCTGTTGGAATTTGCAATTCAAAACCCCTGAAGGTCACGCGATCCACCTGAAGAATCACGCATGTTTGCTGGGAGAATTATTGCAAGACCTTGTTTAAGAGCCAGCCAGCATCCTTTTTGCGTTGTAGAAAGCAATAGAAAACGATTGTTCATCTGAGAAACCTGAAAAAAAGATTAATCTATAATTCGTGACAGAACTTTTTACTCGTGTTTACTTTTCATTGAAGGGACGCTATSACCATTGAAGCGTGACGTCTGTTACAAACGTGATTAAAACTCTTATGTCACTCGGATCACACAATGGAAATTCAAACGTTTAGCAATTGGGATCCATTGATAGTGTTTTCCACTGTGATTTTGCTGTTGATACTAATCTACTGGTATGGCATGCTTGGTTTCTCAGTCTTAAACCGACTGAATGTTCCCGGTCCAAAACCCCTGCCGTTTGTCGGGAATATTCTGGAGGTGCGAAAGTATGGAAGCATTCATTTGATGATATTCGATTATGTGAGAAAGTACGGCAAGATCTTTGCGATTTCGCTGGGTAGGAAACCATCTTTGGTCGTGGCAGATCCTGAAATGCTGAAGACGATCATGGTCAAGGAGTTTGCGACGTTTCACAACCGAATGATGCCGACTCCACCACCACCGATGGGTTCAAACGTGTTCTCCGCGCGTGACGAGACGTGGAAACGAATTCGCAACATTCTGACGCCCTCGTTCAGCGCGAGAAAAATGAAGCTGATGGTTTCACTGATAGAGGAATCGTGTGATGTGCTTCTGAAAAAACTTGAGAGTATAGCTGATACTGGTGAGTATTTGAGATGAACGGGGGGTGGGGTGGGGGGAGGGAATTAAACGGGTGGTAGTCTGGTCTGATCTAACAGGACAGCACAAGTGATGTTACATTTGTTCTACTGAGGGTCTTTTAGGGGGTGTACAACCGTGTCTGTCGGTCGGGTCCCACCCAGTAGTAAGTCACCTCTTCATTCTAAAAAAAATTCACAACAAGTGATTAATTACATAACTTACAGAATACTAAGTAACAAATCCTCAATCAAACCGGTTATTTCTTGTTGATTTTCCAGAAGACAAATAACTTTTCTGCTAGAGAAAAAGCTTATTGAGGTATGATGACAAACTTCTGACCTACATGTGATTCAAGTGAGCTTTTCAGACGGGCTCCGCACTCTGCCACTGGGGTCGCAAGACTCTTTCCCTGTTTTAGTGAAAACGTACGGTATCAACAGCGGTTTTGATGCAATATTAGCCAACATTGCTGCAAGAAAATGTCCGTCGTTAGACTATTCCGCTCATTTCACCCGCATCAGTGTGTGATAAACACGTTGTGTTTGTTTCCAGAAGAGTACCCAACATTACTGGAGGATTTCTCATGAAAATGCTGCGACTTTTGCGACCAACTCTAGAGACTTAACTCTCAGCAAGTCTGCAGAGAGCCATAACTTGGTACACCGCTGTTTAGAGACGAAATACTGCAAAAATCCACTTGTATGACTTACTCGACTTGATACTCTTTGCCCGTTGTGAGGCATAGGGCTTCCAACATAGCTCCCCACTTGTAAACACTGGGCCCATATCTTGGGGTGCATATGAGTGGTGTGAAAAAACGTTCATGAATGTGCTGTCAAAAAGCGAGTTTAACAAAGTTTCTGCTGAGTGATATCTTGCAAAAACAGTCACCTTTATTACACGGTTTGCTCTGCTTTGCGCTTGCAAACTTATTCATTACTAATTTCTGTTTGAAGTACAATGATATGGCCATGATGTGGGATGAGGGAGGGCATATTTTGGGAGGGAAGGGGTCATATATCGGGCTTAAAGCCTTTAGCCTCTAGATTGGAGAAAGGCCTGCTTTTAATTTAGAGGGAGGGCTAAAAGAAACGACTTAATTCATGTTATCTTGTTCAAGAATCAACGGAATACAGGGGCCTTGTTTAGGCTCGAACCAGAAAATTTCGACGTCGAGTCGTTCTTAAGGCATTGTTGTCACATGCAACAAAAATTCTACACGGTTAACAGACGTGAGGTCATTGTGGTTGAATTCACCATTTAATCGGGTTTTGTAGGTAAAACGGTGAACATCATGGACTGGTTCAGCATGCTGACGTTAGAGATTATACTTTCGTCTGCTTTTGGCATCAAAGCTGACGTGCAAACTGATCCAGATGAAAAACTCCTGACGAAGGCAAGGCAGTCATTTCGATTCCCCTTTGTACTGCGCATTGTGGGTCGCTTACCGGTCATTAGAACAGTTCTACGGATGGCCATGAGAGGACGTATGGGCTACTTCGGCACGCTTGCTTTGGAAATGATCCGCCAACGACGAGGGGAAGGTGAGACCAGCCGACAGGATCTGATGCAGCTTATGCTAACAGCCCATGAAGAGTTCACGGTCCAAGGAGCAAGCAAACTCACAGATGAGGAAATTGTCGCGCAGTGTGTGGCATTCCTGTTGGCTGGGCATGAAACCTCGATGATCACTCTCTCCACCACCGCTTACCATTTGGCGTTATATCCCGACATCCAGGAGGAGTTACGAAAGGATATCTGTCGGCACACTGAGCACAATCCCAGCGCTACCCTGTACGAGTTGTCGCACGGTATTGAGTACCTTGACTGCGTCATAAACGAAACCCAGCGACTGTGTCCTCCGGCGCACCAGCTGAATCGAGAGTGCGGCCAAGATTGCGAAATCAACGGCATCTCTATTCCCAAAGGTTTGGAGATTGTTATTCCGTTTTATGCTCTTCACCATGATCCTGAGGCCTGGCCAGAGCCAGAGAAGTTTGACCCCGAGCGATTTCGCGGTCCCTCTAAAGACACCCGGCATCCATATCAGTACCTTCCGTTTGGAGCTGGCCCAAGAAATTGCATCGGCATGAGGTTTGCCCTGATGGAGATCAAGATTACGCTGGTGAAAATCTTGATGAAGTACAAGTTTGTGTTATCTCCCGAGACTCAAGTGCCCCTGGCAATGCACGCTGGCAATACGCTCTCTCCACGAGACGGGGTTCACCTAAGGATCGAGACCATTTAGAGCCATCTACAAGAACATCGCCTTTCCTCAGGTACCTTTAGGAAATTATTTTACACCACGGTAGCTTAAACAGAGGCATGACTGGCTATTTCTTCTTATTTTGTAATTATAGTTAGAGTGTTTCAAATCGTGTAACCTACAGTGTTTTTGAAAGAGGAAAATTTGATGCCTGTCTGGCATGGGATCTAACATGGAGTTTAGGAAGAATTAGTGATTTCAAGAAAGCCTTCGACTCTGTAAGTAGAGATTTCTTGTTTCGTACTCTGTCTGCTTTTCATTTTGGACCTTCTTTCATACAATGGATTCACACATTTTATAACAATATATCGAGCTGTTGTTTGAACAATGGTTTTTCCACTGCCCCGTTTGAAGTACAGCGGGGGGTTAGGCAGGGAGATCCGCTATCCTCCTGTTTGTTTATCATTGTCTTGGAGACTTTGACTATTAGTATACGCAGTAACAAAAATGTCTAGGATATTATGGTGGATGGAGAAGAAATTAAATTGGAACTTTTTGCAGATGACGTAACAACTTTTTTGTTAAATGATAATTATTTATTGAAGTTCTTGGAGCTAAAAAGTTTTGGAGAGTGTTCTTGACTCAAAATAAATCATGATAAGTCAGAAATGATGTTACTTGGAGATTGTGCTTACTCATCACTCAACCATAACCCTTTTAAAAGTATGAAAATAAACGCATATGTTAAAATTCTGGGGATTCATTTCACTTATGATTATCGCATCAAACAAAAGATGAACTTTGACGGATTGATTATATCTATTAAGGATAAGTTAAGGATATGGAGGTGGAGAGACCTCATTATTATTGGCAGAATTCAAATTGTCAAGACATTCATTATTCCAATATTCCTTTATCGAGCAAGCATGATCTGCTTAGACAAAGAACTTGTGAACGAGGCCAACAAAATTATCTTTAACTTTATTTGGAAAGGAAAAGACAAAATCAAACGCCTAGCGCTTATTAGTGATATCGAAGATGGCGGACTCAAAGCTCCACACCTAGACTCCATAATTAAAACCCAGAGAATACTTGTTGCAAACGACTCGCAAGTGAGCAACCCAGCAGTTGGAAAACTATACTTCTGCATTACCTAAAACCTGTTGGAGGTAAAGTTATCCTATGTTGCGACTTTGATGTAAAAACCTCACCCATCAAGCTTCCAGCGTTTTATGAGGAATGCCTTAAATACTTCCCAGAATGCTCTGTAGCAAACCAAGGCAGCTTGCAATACCCCACCAATGTGGATCTTTCAAAAATAATTTTATGGAATAATAAAGCTATTTGTGTGGATGGTAAGTCTGTCTATAATAATAGGTTAGCAAAT